TAGTGGCAGTATATTTTATTTATTTTATTGCGATTTTTACCATCCTAATTGCCTAGCATTTACCGAACTTTTTTCAGATTTGCTTAATTTTTTTGTGACTGTTTAGTTTTTATTCGGCCACTTTATTTCGGTTACAAGCAAGGAATTTAATTGCAATTTGTAGTAGCATTAGGAAAAGAGTCTGTGCTGAACAAATGATTTTTTTAGTTCATATGTAAGGGTTTTAGCAAAAATATTGGAAAAAATATTATCTTCCTTTCATTCATGTAAATGATAGAAATCCTTTATTTGTGTTCCTTTTGATAATATATTTTACCTAACCCATTACTTTCTTTATTTTTGACTGTAGTGGCCTTCTTATAAGACAATTATTTTGGCTATAACTTGCATCCTTGTATTTAAAAAATCGAATGTTATTTCATGAGTTTTCGAAAGTCGTTGATAAAGTGGGCAAAAATAAGTATGTAGTAACAAAGAGCCATTAAAAATCTTACAACTGAGACCTTGCGTACCTCGAATTTTTATGAATGTCAAATTGCTGGTAATTACACGGCAACAGAATTTATTTTAATTTGTTGACATGGAAGGCAGTTAAATTTTACCATAGATGGCAATCAAATGAATAATACATTTGGTATCTGCACTCTACATACATCAACATTTTTTTAACTTACAATTTGGTCATTGCCATTAATTAGATAGATTTGCCGCTAGTAATCATAATTGGAAAAGTTCAGTTTGATATATTGGGAATTATTCGTCCATTAGGCATAGATTTGCATAAACAAAGAAGGCAGGCATATCTCTAATGAATAAATTTAACTGCAACTGGAGAAACACTAATTCAAGATTTATTCGAGCTTGTTTTCTCCGAGTTACATTCTAAATGTGTTTTAATTTGCCCGCTGTAACAAGTGCTGTGACCATAAAAATGCAAATGACCTTTAGCGTACATTTTCCAATTGGAATTTACGATTTTCGTTCTGGATTCAAAGTGCCACAGTAAAATATGTGATTTTTTTAATTACCCTGGACCTTTAAGTGCTCTATCTTTTTACACTACTAGAAACCATTAAACAGTTAAGGATTACCTAGTGCGCAATTTAAATAACATAACTGTTAGCTTCAACGGATATTTCTTAGTTGCATATATGTTTTTCTCAATATTGTTTCGCGTTTGCTTTTATTAATTTTCATTTAGCCAACTGGTTTTTGACACAAATGTTATATTTGCTGTTGCTCTACTTTGTTTGTAAAGCAAATGTGCTACAACAAGTTGTCCATTAGTTGGGCATACAATTATAAAATTTGCTTTTTTCGTAAGTATCGATAATTCAGTAAAAATAAAAAAAATCGGAAAGGCAAACTCAATGGTACTTCAAGTACATCAAGAAATGGTTGCCAAAGCTAATTTGCAAACTATTTGAAGCACAAACTTGCTACCAATCCCTAGCCTCATGAAAATAGCTCATAGAATGCGGTTTACGAACAAAATGCTCATTAATTAGCAACTAATACTCCAACTAATGTTCGTGAAAGAGCGGCATATTTTTTTTTCACGCAAGCCGAAAACGGCTTTCGCTTGCTTGACGGACCTTTCTTATGGACGAGGAAGTGTCGAAGACCCATTTAATCGTTTTTCCTTTGCCCATAGGAACTAATTAATGTCCTCCGTTTATGGGATTGGCCATCTTACTCGGATAATATGGGCTTTAAAGCGTGGCAAAATGCCTAGCTGGGACATAACTTCGAAAAGGGTTTTTAAAGTTTCGTGTAATAATGCACAGATTTTACGTTCAAAGTTATGACAATACGTGGTATAGTTAACTGAGACTTAAATGGCTCAATAATTCAAACAAAATTCATCTATAATGGAGTGAAACACTATTTGAAATGTTAATAAATTCAAGTAGTGTGACTTCAACTGGTTTTTAAGAGTAATAGAAGGCTAGTCACAGTTGCTCGAGTAGAACAGTGCGAATATCGTAATAAAAGTTTCCATCTTAAAATTGAGATTCATTTTTTTAATTTCACATGCAGATTTTGGAAACAGTTACACGGATTAAAGAGTGCACTCAAAAGCAATTTCTTTGTTCAAAATGTTTCGGAAATTGAACCGTAATCAACTCAGTTAATTTTTCAGTTTTCAATTTCTGCAACCTTTTTAACGTTTAGGTCTTTATCATTCTAGTAATTACAAAGTCTGACTGAACTGTCTCGAAATACCTCAGTATGCATTGTTGGAAGAATGTTATTATAATTAATAACAGACTTTGCAAAATGATCTCGCAGCATGATATTTCAGCAACGGTTATAGAAGATTGCTGAGAGCGTCTGTTTTAAACCCCAGATTGCGTGAATGTTTCTCGGACTTTGCTGATTAGACGTACTGTAAATCATTCAATCTGATTAATTATAGCTTATACACATCGCCTGGTTGTTTTGAAATTTACACCCTGTATATGTTGTGATAATAACGCCAAACAGCTGGTCAACGTTTAATTTACATATGAAAAAGCGGAATTCAATGAAACAATATTTGTTCAATAAATTGTTAGCGTGAATGACGCGGATAAGGATCTTTTGTTCGGGTTTTAACTGTATGTATTTAGGATGGATATTTGATGGTAAATAGTGGGAACATGAGTCAACTGAAACTTTCCTTTGTGGAGAGTTTTTCACACATGGAAATTCGTCAAGCGTCTTGTTAATTATGGAAATTTTTCAAATGAATATTAATGGCTATAAAAAAGTTACTTTAAAGTTTATTTATCCATGATTAATCAACATGTCATTTTTTTGCGCATGTTTTCAATTTAGAAATATTGTATTTGATATTTGCAAATTGTTGTTTCGAAACTCAAACTCGAAACTTCGAAGTCTGGCGGAAGTTGTTTTCCGTTACTTGATTTGCTTAAAACGTGTATTTTTTCCTTCAATCAATACATTGATGGTTACGTTTGTTAAGTTTCATGATTAATCTGGTAAGAAATATTAGAAATTTGAATAAAATTAGTAATTCATTATATATATTATTATACAGGGATCACTTAGTATTCGACTTAAAGCATGTTTTTGTAAAAAATACCAGTTTATTTGAGGACATAAATATGAAGCAGCTACAGATGATCGATATAAAAGAGATAAAACAGTTGGTAAATAACTTTTAGTAATTAACAAAAATATGTCGTAAAAAGTTTAAGTTCACACAAAAAAGTTCTGAACAAAACAAAAGTAGGGGTTCCACATTTCTACCCTGTATAAAAGCAAACTGAACCACGAAACACTATCATAAAATGGCTTATAATGTATACCAAAATTGAAGTTTCTATGTTTAACCGTTTTAAAGGAAAACATCAAAAACTAATATTTTTCGCCATTTTGGAAGTCAAATAACTCAACAACAAAATTCAAATTAAACAAATTCTCAGGAAGACCCTTCTAAAATAACTAGAAGAGCCTGCTGTTAAAATATTTTAACATATTTACGGAACACCCTGTATATCTGTCGCGTCTTCAAATTTATGTCCTCAAATAAACTGGTATTTTTTTAGAAAAGCATGCTTTCAGTCAAATACTAAGTGATTTTTTTTCAGTTAGTAACCCAATTTGCATAATTTCAGCATAATAATAAAATATAAGTATATTTTACATGCTGTTTAACTGTACTGCCATACTTTCTTGGTAAAAGTTTATCAATTTCTCTAATTAAAAAAATACCCATTTTAATGCAAAAGGCTTTTTGATTGAGTTCTCTCCGCTTCCTCTTCTACAGAGAAAAAGTATAGTATGTTATACTATTAGGTCTACTTACCTTATACCTCTTACCGTATACTTTTTTTGTTTCGGCTACTCGATATTGTTCGCACAGGAATTTCAATTTTTTCAGTGACACTATTTTAATAACACCCTGTTCTTATAATGTGTTTTATTAAAATTTGTTATGCTTGCCTTATGATTTAAATTTTAAAGGGCTTTGGTTCAATAAAAAAGTTGTTCAAATCGAATTACCGATTGAGAAAATATTCACCGTCAAAAGTTCAATATTCTATGTGGTTTTCAGTTTCTATTCTTTCAACAGACAGGTATTCATTCAAGTAGTATTTTCACATTTGGTAAGGTGGATATAAGTCTGCACAAAAGAGATTAATGCATCAGTAAAAATTTTATTAAAATTTCCGAAAAAAATACAGTAGAAATGCGCACTTAAAAATTAACAATGTTATAATCAGATTATAAAATGTTAATATTAATATTTTGTCAACGTAAACATCGAATGTTACACAATACATTTATCATGACATTAAACATTTTGCGCAAATCCATGGACATAACAAATACACATAGTATACTGCATGGGAAAATAAATAAATTTTATAAAGCATCAAAAATCACATCTTTTCACGGATGCCATCCTTCGACTTGGAAGACACTCAAAGGCCTTGGCAAAATTAGCTGAATTCATTCTGGGACCATTTATTTTAAAACTGGGAATTGCTCTATATTGGTAAGAATTTTCCGCGTAGACATCATTGACATTTCCAGTTAATTCGTACTGCAGATCTTTGCACTGGTAAAGGCTGGATAGAATCCAGAACAGGTGAGCACTACCATATCCCGTTATATCTATCATATAATAAAGTTATATAAATAATTTAAAATTTCACGATATAGACGGGAAAACTTACCAGTTATTTGAGATGCACGGTCCATTGTCTTTGCTGCTTCTTCTGCTTCTATTTCTGTTTGATAGGCATCAAGAGCCACAAGCGTACCGTGAAAATCAGCCAATACATTGCCGATAATCTCACTGGGAGGCAACTGAAGTAACAATTCGTTAGTTACTTTGTGATTTTATTTTATACAAACTTCAATTTCAGATTTGATCAGAAAGTGGTGTCGCTTCAAAAATTAGTTGAAAATTCAGGC